CTGTCAGTGGAGTTCGTCGGAGATGGACTTCTGGGGGAAGTTGGGTGGAACGAATCGGATGATTGTGGATGCAAATCGGGAAGGATTCTTTCTGTCAGTGCGTCCGAAAACGCAGGTGAAGGAGTTCGAGGGGGAGGAGAAGGAGGTACCTGAGGTAGTGAAGGCGAAGGTGTTTGAGGCGGAAGCGGTATTGGGGAAGCGGTATCGGGGTGATTTGCCGGCGGAGCCGGTGGTGACCCGGATGGTACTGGTGGTAGGCGACCTTCGGCCGGACGATTCTGCTCTTGTGAGCTCCCGAGATACCTCTTGAACTCTTCGTCTAAGAGTTTCCGTGCCTCCCGGTAGGCCCGGCTTCGTAGCCACCCTTTGAAAGGACGGTTCGGACGCGGCACTATAATTTGATGTAAATTATAGTGGTTGGTTCTTTTATATATACGCGGGTGAGTGTGTATGTGTGTATATAGGACTTACTATTGTTGTATTCTGCGGATGTGGGTAGATCTAGCAATCGAAGTCGTTGGCCTCAGGACTCCTCGGAAGGTTGGCACTCGGATGTGGAAGCTTCGGTCGAGTCACTTCAACGCGTATCGCGTATTGGCAACCTCGGGGATGGAGTTTAACCGGTGACTTTATAATGAGTACCGAATGAATATGACGAGTCCCGAAGGAATAATGATTGTTACGACTAACTGCCGAGTCCCGAAGGAGAAGTCTAATAACAGTCGAGTCCCGAAGGAGAAGTCTAATAACTGCCGAGTCCCGAAAAAGAAGTGACGCTCCTCGTGGAGGACCTCTCCTTTTATATGACGAGTTAGTGACGCCGAGAGCGGAGCACGTGTACTGCTGAGCCAATCCAGGATTAGGGATATTGTTTATGTGTCTAAGATAGCTTTCGTCATCGACCATTTCTGGAGTGTCTAATAGATGCGAGCCACATGTCATTTGTTGCTCACATCCGCTGTTTCATTTTACAAAGCCTAGTCTGTTTGTTCATAAGTTTCGCCTATCTGGCCCTTGGTTCCAATATCAATCCAACGGTTCTGTCCCGAATGGTTTATTAGTTAAAAACTGTGCGTTCATTGTTCTCAGCTCTTATTTTATTTTATAGTCTTCGAGATAAGGTTTGTCTATTTGATACTTGGTTCAAATATCTAACTCAACGGTTCAGTCCCGGATAGGTTGTTAGTTTAAAACGAGCATTTATTGCTCTCAGCTCCTATTTCAAGTGGTTTACTGCTCACTAATTCTTTGTGATGACGAAAGTTTCTTGTCGAAGAAAAGAACTGTGGAGTCTGGACGTAACACCAGCATAGATAAAATACTAACGTCGATCCATTTTCAACTCTATGACGTTTTTATGCTTGGAGTAGACTAGCGTCACGGAAAAGCCTCACGCGGTCGTAGCGTGATGACGTGCAGAAGCGACGCAATGACTTGAATATGGTAGCGCTTCAAGCTGTATGTAACTAAAGTCATTAAATTTTATGAAGATCACAATGACTTTTCCAGTTTAGGAAAACAATGGCAGAATGTGCACTATGTGTATTTCATACAATTGCTGCGTTCAGCATACTCAACAGTTGAGTGAACGCTCGTTGTTATTGGTTGTATTCTTTTAGATCATTCAATCAGTATTTTAGATCTGAAAAAATACATCAATAGCAGCAAACACTCTCTCAACTGTTGAGTCCACTGAACGCAGTCAATGTTTTGCACTTAATGTTATGTACAGCTGTTACAGAAAAGTTGCAGCACTTTTTTTTCGATGAGTCTCGGACCTTGCTCTCCGAGTGATTGGTTCTTACTGATGGATTTATAAATAAGTACCAATCGCGCTCGATGAGCAAGCTGCAGTCCGAAATCCATCGAAAAAAGTGTTGCAACCTTTCTGTGACCGGCTGTACAGTCATGGAAAGAAAGGTAGCAACACTTTTTTTCAATAATTTTTGGAATACGCAAAAATTTTCAAAGTGTGAAGGTCTAACAACGCGAAGGCAACAGCGATAGCGATAAAAATAGCGATAGCAATAATGATAGTGATAGGAATAGAGAAATCCAACATACAGGAGTACATATGTTAATGCACATAGAAATATGTTTAGGCCTTTATTCACTATCTATCGATGCGTATAATAAACGATTATGACAGCTGTCAAAGTCATATTAAAGATAAAAATATGTTCAGAGATATAACCGTATATGTTATATGTTCGGAATATGACTGTTGTCATATTCTTTTTAGTTACAAAGTTGGTAGCGCTGTAACTAACATAGCTGATCTCTTAGGGTGCCATCATAAAAATCATCTAAAGATAACCAGACTATTTCATTGTTGGACGACGAGAAAAAGCAGAGTCAATTAATAAATTATGTGTGTCAAAGATTAATTTAAATATATCGCAATATGTATCTGTATAAAAGTTTTTGACCTTATTATTTTTAATATAAATTATTACATCGATGTAATAATTCGCATTTGCCTGTCAGCGCTCATTATAACATGAACTCTCACGAGTAACTAAAACGAATATTCTTTGTAAGTCTATAATTATTTTTAAATTTCACTTGATTTTTTTTATCACATATATAATTGATCTTTTATACAGATACGATTGCGATATATTTAAATCAATCTTTGACTACATAAATTATTAATTGACACATATAATTTATTAATTAACGTTGCTCTTTTTCGCCAATTTTATGTAATAAAATAGTCTGGTTATCTTTTGACAATTTATATATTTATTGCAACATGATTATATATTGTACTTTATAATTATATTCTTAGAATTCATCTGCAACATTTAAATATATTGTATTAATTTTTTATATTTTTGTGATTCAAAATTTGGCTGATGAAGGTTAGTACACTCAAAACGTTCTGTGTTATCTATATGACATCCAATATTAATTGTGAAATATTATATATATATATATTTTTTTTAATTAGATCTTTCTCTGCTCGTTTTTGACCTATCTACTTTTTAAATTTTTACAATATCGAGCGGATTACGTCTTTTAACATTTTATATATTTGTAAATTTATTTACATCTTTTACGCGAGTTCAACATTAAAAATTAATATAAGATAACATGTAATGAAATAATAACACGTAATAAAATTATATATCATAATAATTTTTTATGCAAAGTGTAACTGTTCGGAATTCTGAATAGCATTTTCATTTATAGGTCATTTTTGCGGATAATATGTAGAGATAGCCAACTCGGCTGAGTTTCATCCTTTGCAGCTTTGTCAAAAATCTTCCTATTTCAAAAGCTTACATATAAATCCATCTTAACCGTATTTATACTTAAATTATATTATATGTTAATATTGTTACGTCTTATAGACATCACGATTCTTTTCTTTCGAAAGAAAAATATAAGTTATTTTTGGTTTCTGTTGGAAATGTTTCATGCGTGTCTCCCGCCTTTCGGAGAAAAGCGAGAGATCTCATTGGGCACTCCGGAGCGAGTGTGTGAGGGAAAAAGAACGAACAGCTAGAGACCGCGCGATCGGTGGGTAACGAGTTGTCGTCCGTGAGCGGGACTCTCTGTGCAGTTGTCGAGCTGAGTACATGTGCACTAGAACGTGACAACAAGATTGTTAAAAGAGAAGGGAAAAAAAGAAAGTATTCTGATAAGATTGTTCTTCTTGCACAATCGTGATCCTATTTGCTGTGTCAATAGGTTATGGGCCCCGACACCCGATAACCGCGCAGATTGTGCGAAGAAATCGTAATAACTCTAAAAGTGCAGTACGCGGGACGAAAGGTCGAGACGCGGCAGCCGTATTGTTCGATCGTTTAATCGGTGAATAAGAGAGTAG